CTCTCAGATATTGTAATTTCTAGGCACTATCTTGTTGCTTGTCTTTTTAGTGTATTTCTCTTGACTTTCATGTAATTCAATAATTACACTATGTGTTCTCATTGACCAATGAAAAAACATGAAAGACTAGTCTTGCATCTTTATTGTGTGAGTTCTTAATTAGAGGCTCAGGCGAGAAAATAACCTATTTCAATATCTTTTGAACTTTTTGACTCTATTTTAAATTGATTGGTCGATATTTTCTTTTTCCTAATGATGATGAAGATAAGTAGTCTTATAGGATATGTTAGGAAAATGGTTGGTTAAGAAGTTTGAAATATGAGCTTGAAGAAAGAAGAATTTATATTACGTTAATCTATATATTCACCTACTTAAAAGGGGATCTAATTTTGAATAAATGGTTGATTAGTGATATAAATTGAACAATTCTTGGCCATTATTCTCAAGCCTATCAAATCAAAATTTCCTAAATATTGCCAAAGGTCCCATATCAAATCGATTGTAGATCCTATCACGTATCCTTGATTTAGCTTTATAAGCAAAAGCCCCAATCAAGATGTTTCGCTACACTAATCCATGTAGATGTCATTTAGAATAGTGATATGTTAGAAACACAAAGATTAGAGTTTAGAATAATAATGAACAAGGAGAGAGAACGCAAGGAAGGGACTCCGTATTTGTTAGTTTAATATGCTATCCAGTTGATGTTTGTTAATTTAATATGCTTATATTAATATATATTTATTATTAATAAAATCTTAATTTATTTTTAGTATTTATATAATATTATATTAATAAATTTAATATTTAATTCATGAATATAAAATAAAGATAAAGTTCATGGAACAAAAATATTTTATAAAAAAATTATAAAGTTTTATAATTATAGGATTTATATTGCATCAAATATTCTTTCTAAAATATTTATGGTCATATAATTATAGGATTCATATTGCATCAAAATATTCTTTTTAAAATATTTATAGTTGATGCTCTCTTAAATACTTGATATTTATTAGAGTCATACAGAATAATATATATTATATTATTTTCTTTACAAAAAAAATATGTTGTTATCATAAGTTAAGGTATAAGAGATATCTAAAAATAATATGTAGATGCTTGTCATAAAACATATATATTGAACTGACCTGACCTGTACGAGAATTTTATATGAAAAGATCACCATGTTTAGGAAAAGGCTCACGTGATGATTCTATAAGTGATCCTTAGACTTGAAATCACTAAGTTATCTTACATATATAAAGAATGTTATACTTTGATCTTATTACATATTATATCTTAATTAAGGTAACAAAGAGAAGATATTGGATATAACATAAACTATATGAAGGTACTTCAGTGATTAAGAGAGAGAATTCATCACCTTAGATGAATTAGGAAAAAATAATGTTTCATTTGTTGTCAAATATTATTGACTAGGAAATATTTAGGCAAGGTGGAATGAGATTTAGAAAGAGTTTCAAATCTTATTCAAAAAATCAATAACTATTAAGTAGAGAAAAAAACATGATTTAACATGGCATACATACTTTATGCTTTAATGTTAAATTAAAATATTATTGATGAAAGAATATTAATTACATCAAGAAATCAATCACTAAAAGATTATGTTAAACCACTAATGAAATTTACAATATTTAGAATATCATGATACATTGTCAAACGATGCACCTGATCCTTAAATATAAATTAATCAATTGTTGAATTGATAATAAATAAAATTATTTAATTTATTTAATTATAATTGAATGTAATTATAATCTATATTTAGACCAATATATTATGAACTTAATGGGTCATACATATTAAGAATTATTAGTCAGAAATTAAATTAAGATGTTTTAATTAAGTATAACTTGATCAAATATATTTTAGAAATTAAGGACTAGAATATAATTAATACAAAGATTATATTTATATAACTAGAAAAATCAAATAAGGACTTGATTAAATTAATTTCTAAAATTATCCTAAATTAATATAAGGATATTATTCAAGGGGCTAGTTGATATTCTACCAATTTATAGGGTTTTTCAAATGTTTCTATAAATAGTAAGTTATGCATCTTATTTTTAATAAGTTGTTGTCTATTAGATAGAAAAATTACATAAATCATAGAATAAAGAGCTAGCACTCTAGGCATATCAATTCATCTCTCCTAAATAGAAATTTAAGAGATTTATTACTGCTGGTTCATATGAATTACTGTTTGAGGCTGAATAATTGAACGACTTATGGTTTGTGACAACTCAGCTTTTAAAGAATTATTCAAAGCTGAAGAATATCAGATCTTCAGGTAACAAATTTCTAAATAACTCTAGATCTGTCTAATAAGATCCTAGGAACTCCCGAATAGTTATGTTGTATCTTTTTCGTTGCGTGTATAATATTTGAAAACCTAACAATGTGACCATGAATAAATTCCATACGTTTCCAAGTGCAAATAGCAAACTTGATCTCCAATAAATTAAGGTATAAGTTATTTAAAACAACCAACACTTTTCACATATATTTATCACTTGATGGTCAAACCCTGGGTCATTCTGGTGCACCTTACTCCCTTTGGTTCTTGCAAATTAGGTTTGCTACAATTCAGTACATCTCAGGTTTTGCAAGTCTAAGCTCTTTCATTTAAGTTTCTTATGCTTGCATAAACATAATGTTTGATATGAAAACTTATGGTTCTTGATAATTACACAGGAATTGTGTATATATAATGATGTTGTACAGTGTTTTGAATTTTTTGTTAGTGTATATGCTTTATAGCCAATCGGCTGTTTACACATAACATTGACATTATTCATATAAATATATTTAATTAATTAAAGGATAGTTATCTTTATCAAATATTTTAATATTTTATTAATGAATCTAATATTTGATTAATGAATCTAAGGTAAAGATAAAGTTCTTGGAACAAAAATGCTTTGTAAGGAAAACTATAAAGTTGTTATAATTATAACATTTCTATTGCATCAAAGTATTATTCATAAATGTTTCTAGTTAATGCTTCATTAAGACTACACATTAGTTAGAGTTGTTGAAACTCATACATATTATATTAGTTCTTTTATAAAAGGAAGTGATTGTTCTTATAAGTTGAGGTATGAGGAATACTCAGAACTAATATAGAGGTGCTTATTGGATGACATATACACTGAACTAACTCATAAGATAATTTTATATGAAAAGATCACTTGTGTCTATAAAAATATTTACGTAATGGTTGTGTAAATAATCTTTAGACTTGAGATTACTAAGTTATCTTCTATAAAAAGCGTTATGTTTTGATCTTGCTACACATTATCCTAATCAAGGATAACATATAGATAAATATTTGTTATAACATTAATTATATGAAGGTATTTAAATAATCAATAATTTATCACCCTAAGTGAATTGAAAAAATTATTTCATCTATTTTCAAATAGTATTGATTGTAAATCCTTGTGCAAGGTGGAATGAGATTTGAAAAGACTTTCAAATATTATTCAAAGAATTAATAACTATGGTATTGAGAATAAACATGATTTGATATAGTAGATTCACTCTATGCTATAATGTCTAAATTAGAACATTGTTAGTGAAGAGATAATAATTATATTAATAAACTGGTTACTTAAAGGTTAAGTCAAATAACTTATAATTTTTCTAATATTTGAGATATCATAATAGGTTGCTAGACATTGAACTTGATTTTTCAAATATAAATCAATTAATTATTGAATTGATAATAAATTATTTTGTTTAATTTATTCAACCATATTATAATTAGGTTTATCATTTATATTTAGATCAACTTATTAGGGAACATAATAGGTCACACACATAAGAACCATTGATCAAAAATTAAATGAGATGATTAATCAAGTGACTTGATTATAAATAAATTTTAAAAATCAATGACTAGAATATAATTATACATGAGATTACAATTCTAGACTTATAAACAATCATGTAAAAACTTTATTGGATAAATTTTTTTAAAATTAACCTAAAATAATATATGCAATATTATTTAAGGGGAAAATTAATATTTTATTGGATTTTTAGGTTTATCTATTAATAAAAATTTATGCCTCTTATTTTTTATAATGTGAGTGTAGTAAAGTACAAAAATATTTAAAATATTAACAAAAAAACGAGTTAACAATATCAATTCCTCTCTTCTAAATGTTGAAGAGATTTGTTAGTAGTAAAATTACTATTAAAAATAAAATATTTAAACAGTTTGTAATTTTCAATAACCCAAATAAAACCGACAAAAAAATCTATATCCCTTTTCTAATACAATTATTCAAAGCCGACAAAAATATCTATGTCCCTTTCCTAATCTTTAGCCTCTTTCATTTACCATAATTATCATATGTGTGTCCCTTTCGGCGTTTCACAAGCCATGATGAACGCGTCCGTTTTGAATTCCCATCTCAACAAAATTGCACCAGCACCCTACGAACTTCCGTCTCTGATCATATAATACCTTGTATATTAGTGCAGCAATATATTTTTTGCAGATGAGGAGGTTATATATTTGTTGATCATTATCCTTTCAGAGCACTATCATGACAGATTAACCAAAATAACCTGCACGCGCGCACACCCATATACATGGGCTTGGCAAGCAGACGTTCAATAAAAAACAATAAACTTTCTCCAGTAATCTTAAAGTGTGTTACTGTTGAATATAAAGCTTATTATAGTGACCCAATCTAGATCTAACCTTAATTCATTAAAAGTCAAAATATGTAAGGATTCCAAGAACAGTCCTCTGATCTCTCCCCTTATTTATTTATTTTTTTTCGTAAGAGGGGATTAATAATTAAGTCCATATATATCCATGGTCTTCAACATGTAAGCACTCATTAGTAGATCCAGTTAAGCAAAGAACGTGTCATACGTTGTTTTGATAAAACGATGGCAATGATTTGTTTTAATCAAAGTGCCATGCATGCTGTTGTGCAGAAATTGATAAGCATTATTACGGATTGATTCTAGTGCTAAAATCTAGATATTAAAAGATAGAGAAAAACAAAGGAAGAAAGGGAAACAAGCACACGATCCTACTGCATAGGCTAACAAGTACTAATCCTTCTCGATGATTATAAAAAAAAAAAAAACAAGTACTAGTCCTTAACTAGCCCTATTGCGTAAGCAAATTCCTAATTATCGCAGCTTGAGCAGTGTCAGTTGTTTCTAATAGCTCAGATAGCCGCTCGCTAAGATCATCAACCTCTCTGTGCAAGCTTTTAATATAGTTGCATGTTTCCTGCAAGGCCTTGGCAGCTGAGACCTACGAATAATAAAAAAAAAATCCAATTTTAAGTTGAAAGCTAGGAAATTAAGCACAAGCATATACGTACAGAAGGCCTTAACATTAGTTAGAAAGTAGAGTGAACATCATAGCATATACAGAAGATCTGTAAACAGTCCAGTACTCCAAGAAATTGCAGTACTTGAATATCAGAAGTGTTGCATGGAACTTTATCCTTAAAGTTCATGTGTCTTTGTGGGTATACCATGGATAAGTAGAGGAAGAAGTTAAAGCAAGCACATGCGCTAGAAACTCCACTCAAGCTTACGTATCTTAAAGGAAAATGATGAATATATATATATATGATGGAATCGATCAATCTCAATAATCAAACCAATTATTAGAATTGTTTTTCGCTCGTAAACCATGCACATCCGATCCCTTTGTTCTTTCTTGGTTTAATTTTTGTTTGAGACCAGACAAGTTAATAGGAACGTCATCATCCAGCTCCTGGCTACAATTTGTAACAATCGTTTAGTGGTAAATATAGCATATGACGATTAGTTCTAAAATACACTTGATATATGGCTAGTGATAACTAGAAAAGTGTTTTTTTATATTATTATGACTCCTACTATAGTACCTTTTCAGAACGCCGATTACGAGTCCCAGGAAGAAGTTGTTGCAACTTTGTAACAAGATCAAGGATCTGATCATCATTGATTCTTGAACCACCTGATTGCCTTGATCGCGACTTCCGGCTAGACATATCTTAATGAAATTTGATATTAACTTGTAATTAAAACAAAGGCTAGCTAATTAAAGATATATAATTAAAGAAGAAATAATAGTGGTCTATATATATAGATTCAAGGTTAATATGACTAGGCACCAAGTAAAATGTATATATAGCCAGGCACCAAGTTAAAGAAGGAATCTACTTGTGGAAATTATTTGTCGCTAGAAAAGGAATGACAAGTTACGGAAACAAGTGAGGCACTGGAAGAAGAAAATTAAGAAAGAGAGAGGTAGCCAGAACAAGATCACAAGCAGTGGCGTCGGAGCTGGAGGAGAAAACAAATTAATACATGGGGGAGAGCAGTGGACTAAGCTTGCATTTAAATAGGGGTTTCGAAGAGAGACAGAGACAGAGAGAGAGAGAGAGAGAGAGAATCAAGTCTGTAGAGATACGCCAAACTGTATTCCTTGGTGTGTGTTTCAGGGCGGAGTTTGATCTCCACTCGAATCTCACACTCGGAGCCAGCGAGCACGTCAGTCCCTCCACCCAATACCATCTTATTTTATGATCCCCCATAATTAATATTATTTTTCTTCCAACCTGACTAGATTTATCATATATTATCATGTAATGTATTAAATTCTTTTACTACAGCGAGACAGATACAAGAGGTGAACGTTTGAAAAAAAGAAAAAAAGAAGTCTCCATTAACACATATATATTAGTTTGAAAATATTTTTATTATCAAATTATACAACAAATTCTCGCAGTCAAGCTCTCTTCTGCCCTTTACACTCGAGGGCCAATCTCCATTCGGTCTAAGAAAATCTTTGTACACCTCTATTATCTTTTAAGAGGCCTATGTTCTATAGAAACTATCTAACTGAGATTGTACATTGGCATGTAGGACCTGATACAAGAATTCTAGCTCTTTTAGAGTGGTATCTCACTAACAACTCAAATCTTTTTGAAGGGAGTCTTCTTTACCTTCCACCTAAGCTATGCAGGAAAAGCCCAAAACTTATATATATATATATATATATATATATATATATATATTAACAAATTCTTATTAAATACTATTAATATTTGCGGAGAATTTATATAAATTATAAGTTCAAGTTAATCAATAGTTTTGAAAATATTTGAAGCTAGTTAGTTTTTCTTTCAAAAAAATCAAATTATTTAAGAAGTTCTAAATTTGCAATATCTTGATAGAGCAATAGTTCATATAATTGTTTTTATTTTGTTAATATATTTTATTATTAAATATCAAATGTAGTCAGCTCGTTCCCCTAATATTATTTATTGTTAAAGAAAAATATAAATCATATTTTGAGACTTTACTGCACAACTTAAATTATTAGATTAAGATAATTCTTTGACATGATATCAAAGTCTTGATAATCAAGCGATCACGAGTTTGAATCTCACCATTTTTATTTATTTGATAAAATTTAAACACAAGGTAATGTAAATCTATGCAAATTTCAAATCTAAAGAACTTTCACTTAAAGGGGTGTGTTGGAGAAAATATAAATCATATCTTAGAACTTTACCTAACAATTTAAGTTATTGAGTTGAGATAGTTCTTTGATACTTATAAACTATGTTTAATAAAAAAAATAGAACCATGGAGTAGTAATTTAAATATACTGCTAGTTGAAATATCTCAAAAGAAATGAAAAATAAATTATTTTATGCTTATAAAACTAATTAGATGAAACTCAAAAGAAAAATAAATGGTTGAATATGGTTAAGTACTTAAAGCATGTTTGATTTAGTAAGGCAAATTATCAAGTATCAAATTTGTGATTAAAGCTATGTAAACTATATATTATTTTTTTTCCTTTTGTTTTTTATTAGGCATCCTTTCTTTCTTTCTTTTCTAGACATGATTATATGGTTGTTACCATAATCAATTACATATGATTCTTGGAGGCATAGGGTAATTGATTAGGGGACATGCTCATTAACCATGTTTGAATTATTTTTTATGAGTCAATAATTTCTAGAATAAATATATTTTTTTTCTTTCATCTAATAAGAAATACCCATAATTAAAAACTAAATTCTGAGCCAAGATAAATAGTAGCCTCATAAACAAATGAAATGTAGGGAATCCTACTTGATTTTAACAAGCTAGAAAGATAATGCAATAAAACTAAAATAGAAAAAAATAGAAGAAAAATGATAGAAGAAAAGCAAATTGCATAAATAAAATGTATAAATGGGGTTAATCATCATTTATAGTAACTAGATGGCCTTAATATATTGTTACAAAGATGAAATCCTATGAAAATCATATTTCTTAACTTTATATTAACTACCCATAGCAAATCAAGAGCTCGCAACATAAATCCTAATACAATTCATATCCTTATTAGCACGTCTCTTTCCTAATTGATGTATGATTGCAAACTAACTTGTAATTTCTGCCAATATAGTCTATTATAAACTCTTATTCATAGTAGATTTTGGTTTTCTAGTCAATAATATGAAACCTTATCTCTATTGTCAATTGTCGTATTCTTGTTTATCATGTCTTTTTACTCTCTTGGATGATTATAATATTTGAATTTTTTTATGTTAATTGTTTTCTATGTTTCCCCAATTGATTTGGATTCAACTTAGACCTAGTTTATTTTACTATTTACAATCAATTTATCCTTTTTTTTTTCTTATTTAGTAATGAATAATTACTATTTTTATATAGCCAATACGTGGATGTTTGTATTTAGCTTAAATAATGCTCTTATATTCCTTGATTTACGATAAATAAATAATTATATTGACTTGCCTTTTGTACTAAAATCGCTCAATAACACAACCATTATATAATGTGGTTAGCTTGTTCTTGTGCTTGATTACAATTAATCATGTCTTACAGTGATCTTATTTATAGTTGATCATCAACATCATGTGTTAGTATTTTTATAGGTTTTTGTTGTTGATTATGGATACAAACATCTTTTCTGGTCTCAAAACATGTTCTTTTAATGAGATATGTAGCATCATACTTTCTCACTAGTATATTTAGATATTGCTTCCTTTTGAATTAAGTATTGGTTAGTCAACTTTGTTGCCACCTTCTCTCTAGGTCTAGGAGATTTTGGCTATTGCTAGCCAATTTGTTATCATTATCATTGAGTTTTTAAATTATTTATGTTGTTTCTTATGTTTTTTCCACTTAGTATTAGTAGATATTTTAAGCTTAAAATCATGGTCAATCATTGAGTTATGGCTTGTTTAGCTTTACCTCCTAAATCTTTTTATTTAGGAAGAATGACATGATAGTTAAAGAATATATAAAACACATAAGAAAGTGTTTCTAAAATTCTTATGCCAATTCTTTAGTCTTGCCATGATCAAGGCAACTTTTTCCAACTACAGTTTATATGATTACTTTAAGCTTGTATCAAAATTGATCAGGCTTTACTTTTTATAATTTCTCTTTATCAGATAGTCCTTCTAGCATAAAGGTATTTAGTGTTATTTTTAACTTAGATAATAAGTCCTTATTCATCTTCCTTTCTCAAAAGGTTTATAAGACCAACTTTAAGTGCTTTATAAATCTAATTCTTAAATATAAAACAACAATTGGTGTTATGTTTTCATGAGTAATGCCATTTACAGTGTTTTTTCTCCCTGATTTGTTTAGTTAAAGGGATTGTATGACTGCTAAAAAGCTTGATTGCCCCCTTACTTATTAGCTAGTCAAATATTTCTTGAACTTTTTTATGTCAAAATTGTATTTTTTACTCTCATTGACAACTTTGTTAATCTTTTTTTTTTATTATTATTCTTTTTTCTTTGCTACCAGGTTTATTGGACTGTATAAGCTTTCTTATTACCACTATCTTGAATGGTATTCCAAGCTTGAGTTTTATGATTGAAATTAGCTATTATTGATCTTTCTTAAACTACTCGTTTGAATTTGATTCATTTATTGAACGAGGATTATGACCTCGTTCAAATAGCCAATTAGGCATGTTCTTTTTAATGGCTTCTTTTATGCTTTTTTTCCAACATCTTTTTATGCCAAGCAACATCATCTATAAGGTATAAATATCAATATTTTTTTGATCTAACAAACATCTTTATTATACTCTATTATATCCCTCTAGAAGTAACTTAATGCATTTTTTTCTTATTATAGTTAAAGTGCACTTAGTTTAAGAGTCTTGAAGTAAAATACATATGTTTCTATAAATAATTATATCAAGCTAGTAAAAATTACCTCTAGTCTTATTATGTAAAGGTGCCTGTGAAAACAAATATTCATATCCTTTTAACTATTAATTGAATTAGGTGGTGATATGGAGTACTTATGGAAAGAAATTTTGGTTAATGAAGCACCAAGCTTTTTTAGTTTCATCAATGTATTATTAGAACTATTGCTATATGGATCAATGAATTTGGTGATATATCTTCTTATTGACTCATTGTCTTCTCTAAAAAAATGTTTAGAATTAATAATTTTGCTTTCTTAAGGAAGTGAATTGAGTTTTTCATCCTATTCAAAGTATGGATGATAATATGCAAGATTTACAGTGGATCCAATATCTATTGCCATCTCTTCAAAGTGTTGGGTTGCTTCATTCTTGTTTACTCATGCTCTTGGTTATATTCAATAATTGGTTGTTGAGGTATATATAAACTAACACTGCATTGATATAAGTTATAATATAAGGCACATTATATTACTTAGATATAAGTTAGGTTGTTTGCTTATAAGACTATTAGGTTATATAATTGGCCTAATGTTTTTTTTATACTTTTAAAATAGATAAAATTTTGAGTATAATCATGATTGGTATTTTTTAGGGTTGTAGTAATTTTTGTTAAGTGGCATATCACACCTAAGATATGGTCGAAAACTCTTATATATTTCCTATTAAAGTGCTTCATATTAGAAGATACCCTGGTATTTGCCCTCTAAGTTTCAGCATAGGAGATCAATTATACATCAAACTTATTCTAAATTTGATTATGTTAATCTATCATGGTATGCATAGTTTTATTAAATATCATAATATTATTAGGGTGAGTCATGTTTGTTATGTTTTTTCATTTCCAACAAGATGTTCTTATACCAGTATCAAATAGTTTTGTTTTATAAAAAAAAAAAACATAATCCTTCAAAAGGAGTCATTAATGGCTGATTGCAATCTAAACATAATAATT